TTCTTTCTGATGGTGGCAGCAGTTTCATTTCTCTGCTGTGACCTAGACAGTGTATAAAAAAGCTGGCTGAGCCTCTCAGTGCTTCAGTGGATTCCACACCACCAGAAAGAGAAATGTCTGACCAAAATGTCCGCAACGCTGGTTTCTCTCCCTCCGGGATCACAAGAGGCTCGCTTGCTTCATCAATGATGTCCAATGAAGCAAAAGCTTCTGGGGGAGGCGTGCGCTCTGGAGGCCCTACCTCTACTCTCCAGGAAATGGGTATGAGTCATTTTGTGTGTGTGTGGTTTTGTGGTTTACTGCATAAGGACAAAGAGGTTTTTGTACCTGAAAATAAGCTTGGCAAGTAATCTCTTCTCTCCTACCTTCCATATTGCACTGAAGACAAACAATTTCTATATTGAACTGTGTGTTACGAGTGGGATGCTATGAAGAGTATTTTCTGTATAGGTACATATGCACGAATATACACATGCCTATGAGATGCAGGGCAGTGTTTTGTTTGAAGTTTGTGCTTTCTCTTCATTCTGCTAGGAATCATCAATAATATGGGAATTCGTGATAGCAGTAAGCAACAATACACTTATGCAAGAACATGATCTGTGTACTTATATTTCATATAAATTATCAGATTTCCCTTGCTCTTTACTCATATACATCCATACAGGGAGAACCCATAAAATGTTATGCAGACACTATAGCAGAGGAAAATTAGCTGCAGTGCAAGAGCTGAATTCATGAAGGGAATATATACACATTCTTGACATCCTGTATATAAGTACTAAAACTAGGCATAGCTGGCTTTCACATGAGCTAGCCCTGCTTGCTTTTCTGTTGCATGCACAGAGCAATCCCTGACCTGATGACCCTAAGCAGCTTGGCACCTGTTTAACCCCAGATCCCATGGGATTGATGCATGACATATTCTCCCTGCCAGTCTTGCCTGTGTGACCTGATTCAGCAGTCATCTCTAAGAAGGCATCACTCCACAGAAAACAGTGACCCATACAGTCCTGCTTTACCCAGCAGTACAGTAGTTAGCATGCTGACTTGGATAAAGGCTTCCAAACACTTTCTCCCTTAGGGGTCTTGGACCCATATCTCCCACATGTCAGGAGTACACTAACCAGCAGGCTGGTTATAGGTGGGGTTCTCTGCCATGTTGGTCATGATCTGGTCAATTCTTTTCGTAGTAAGCAGCTGGAAGTCTACTGAAGGATGGAGCTGAAATCTTCCAGACGTAAAATGGGTGTTTGGCTGGGTGAGCTGGGCAGGGTCCAGATTTGGGGCACCTTTTAACAGTAAAAAATGTGATAAACTTAATTAAGAGAAAGTAAATTATTTTTTTAAGGTATGTTTCACACTGCAATATTATTCATAGTGTGTGGCCCCCCAGACAGAGAGGGATTAAACGACATTGAATCACTTCAGAGAGATATTGCACGTGACTCCTGTGAGGCATGTTTTAATTTTTATCCTGTATGGCTTGATCGTTCAGTTTAGGTTACTGAATACAGTGTTTATTTAATATTTAATAGCAAAGAGATGAAGGGATAGTAGCAGCAGAGGAACAGAAGATGAGAGAGAATCAGGAGAGGAGGAGAACTGAGAGAGCTTGAGAGATGCTCTCTAGCACCATGCTACATTAGCAGCAGAAATCCTGGTACACAGGAGATGCCAGTTACTTAATCTAGTCATACACAGAGTCACCTGCACAGTCTTGCCTGGAGCAGTACACAGTCAGTGGCAAACTCTTCAGTGGTGATGCCACTGAAAACATGAAGTTGTAGTTTCCAGACTAAAAGATTGAAGACTTTTTTCCCTCCATATGCTGGGATATGCTGAGTATCTTTATGAGAGAGATAGATAAGCAAAGTAAACATTTAAAACCACCTAGTTTGATTCTTGCAATGTCTGTACCAACTGTGCACTTTAATGAAACCCACTATTTTGGTGAAGAGAAATCTGCATGACTCAAGGAAACCTTAGCCATGCCTACAGGAGATACTCCAAAAGAGCTTTTATCCATGTGAAAAATGCTGGCTCTGTAATGTTGCCAAGACAGGTGTGAGCTTTGGCTCCCTGCAGCAGGAGAGCTTGCCACACGTTCTTTGACTGATTGAGAGCTAAAAGGGCCTGATTTCATTTCCGCAGGTGCTCGCTGAAATCTCTCACTCTTCAAACACATCTTCTTAACCTTTTCGTTCAGACTGTAACCATTCCTCCCCCCAGAGCAAACACGCTCGAAGGAGCGGCTGATTCTGCAGCAGGGCATGAGTATTGTTCAGTATCACTTTACAGATGATATTATAACAAGCTCATCACCAAAATATTTGAGCATTCTCCAGGAATGCTTTAAGCATTATCACTAACATTTGTCATCACTAATGCTTTACTCCTCTCCCAGGAGAAGAAATTGCAGTGGAATACTTCGGGCTTATTTTTACTGAGAAGGAAGATATATAGAGAAATTGTTCACTAGCCACCACAGTGTTTGAATTTTACAGGTATCTATTATATACAGGTTTATGCTATGGAAAGTGAAGTGAAAGGAACATATCTTTCACCTGGAGCAGTAAGCAGTGAAGTCTGCAACAACCCTTAGTTCCTGTAGGAATTTGTCCCACTGTCCTCAGGTAGCTCCTCAGCAGAGACAAACTGTGCTGAAACTGTTTTGGCGATCTATGAAAAACAGTCTGCGCAAGAGTTGAAGGTTTTCTTTGTGTTCTGGAACTATCCACAAAACACTGCACATATCCTTTCCCCAAGGTGGCAGCTAAAAAGCAGTATCCTGATGGAACCAGTCATCAGCAAGTAACCAGCAGTCTCCTTGACTTTTGGTACATTTGTTAGCCTTGTTAGTAGTTCATAATTACGCCATAAGGTTCCTTCCAGTCAGTAACATCTCCTTTGTATCTGTTCTAGGTGCCAGAGGCTCAACCCATTCATCAGGTTTTACCAGCAGTGGCATCTCCCCTGCATCCCAGGCCTCCCAGATGATGTCCAAGGAGGCCAGCTCTCATGGAGGTGGAACTCCCCGGGGTGGTACAACTTCCACTGTCCAATCCATCTGTGAGTGAGAGTCCTCCTCATACAGATGATTAGCAGATGACTTCTGAGAAGTCAGCAGTATTTCAGCTCAAGTGTACATTTACTAGATGAAGGGTTGTACATAAGAGAAGTGACCGCATTGTACTTGAAGCAAGGTTTCTCCTGTTTACTGCTTTATACTTGGTGGGAAGCTGAAACTAGGGAACCAAGGGAAATAGCTATGCCACAAGGTTGCAAAGATATGGGTAGATTGCAGAGACAGAAATCTGAAACAAGTAGTGATAGAAAGAAGTCCCATGGAAGTTTAGGTTGTGCTTTCATCAGCAACACCATGGAAGTTCATTAACTTCTAATTTCAAACACAACTGCAGGACCAAACCAAGAGCTTCACACTTGAACATACGAAACAGTGGGATGACATAATTAAACATGAGAATGGAGTTATCAGACTGACAGCTGGTAATCGTAAAGTCCACTTCTTGTGGCCTTTTAGAACAGTTTAGCTTTCTTTCCTTTAAAGGAAATTCAGTGGGTCAAAAGCAGACGCTTTTTGAGCTAGTAAATGCAGACTAATCTGCACTTACTAGCTCAAAGCAGAGAACGACACAAGTTTTCCTCATCACCCGGCCACGTTAATGCAACCCACACCTAGTTAAATCAAACCAAGGTATGAGGAGGCTTAGTCTGTACCTGTATGCACCAGTAAGGATGCTAATTATGGTGGTGGGATCCTGTGGGGGTTGCAAGAGAACTGGAGACAGGACTGAAGTTATGAATTTCACAAATGTTTTTCAAAGTGTAACACAGACCCTTTGGTCTCTGACCTGGAAATGTTTGTAACCAATGCTCAGATATTCTGTGTTTCCCTGCGCTGCAACTTTGCTTTAAGTTGTTCTCCCATGTTTGTTTGTATTTGTCTTTAGCAATGGGTGGCAAAGGAGGAAGACGCTGAATAGAAGAAAAACATTAGTCCAGAAGTAAGCTCTGCAAGCAGTTCATCCTTTACCAGCAGTTATCTGACAGCTCCTCCCCTTCTTTGCTTTCCCCGTCACAGCATGAAAGGCAAAGCCTTTTACACATGCGCAAATAAAGTATATTAAAATGGCGGATTCTTGGATTAAACTAGTGGGGACAGGGATGAGGGGCAGTTTCTTCCTTGATTAAACATTCTCTGAAGCACGGGCACATAATGAACACAAGCCGATAAGTGGACGCTAAGGTGCTTTGGAATGCACGGGTGTCTTACTAAAATCCTGGGCTTAGCAACACTGGACTCTCCAATTACAGGTAGCTTGCTTTATTTTACAAAAAGTGATCAGAGTGCAAAAGTCGCTCTGTTGTGAGAGAGAAGCACAGAAACACTCCGTAAGGGGCATCCAGCAGTTCCCTTTGGATGTACTTCTAACGGGCTATCAACTTAAATCCTATTTAATTAAGAATACACATAAGCAAACTAGAAGAGGTCTCAATAAATCTCATACCTTAGAGATGCAACTGACATTTTTATCCCTCTACTATTTCTAAGGTCCCTTTCACATTAATTTAGTTTAAAGCCCCTGTTTGCTTATTGAGAGGTGGCAGCTTTGTCACAGCTAGACAAAAATTACTCCTCTAAACTTCTTACGATACCTGAGAACAGATAAGGAAAAGAGCCATCTTCTCTGGAATAGGTGTCACTGCTGCAGCTTTTTGCTTTTCCCCACATGCCAGACTTGTTTCCTTCATATGTACTCATACAATGATGTTTCACCAAACATGCATAATGCTGTCCATTCCCTATGCAAATTCCCACATACGTTCTCCCCCACACTTCTATCTTATTCCTGTCTTTCTGACTCCTCATCCTCCCTCCCCTACCACCTTCCTCCCTTTGTATTTCTAACAAAACCACACTGTGCAGCTTCTCCTTCCTTTTCCTCACCCCAAGACAGAAGGAGAGAATCTCATACCTTCAGGCCAGAAGTTAAGAAGCACTGGGTTTATGGTGCTGCAGTCAGTGATTTTCTCCAGCAGCCTCTGTCACCCAGATTGAACATTCCCATCTCAGCTGCATCTCTTCATGGCTGAGAGACTTGTTTGTACACGTGCACCTTATACTCCCAGATACGTTCTTTTCCCTCCTGCTTAGACACCTGCCTGAAAGGACATGAGAAGTCAGCATCTGCCTCCAGTTGCAGCAAAGTTACAGGGAATTATTTAATGAGAGGAGGAGCGCCAGCATGGAGGAAGAGGTGCAGAAATTTATCTTCACTTGCTGTGCCATGCAAAGTATTAACAAGCGATTGAAAAACAAAGTCTCGATTTCATGGGATGGAGCTGCTGTCCTCACAAGGTGGTATCTCAGGCAAATGCTTAAATGTAATCAGGAGCTGAAGTTATAAAATCATAGAAAGATTCCGTTTCAAAGAGACCATGGTGTGAGGAGAATAGGAGCAGTTCTCTAGTCCAACATTCTGCTCAAAGCAGGGTTAGCCTTAATGTTAGACTCATTTTCTCAAGGCTTTGTCTGGTCAGGCTTTGAAACTGTTGAAGGAAACGGATGTCGTAGCTTCTCTAGGCAACCTGTTCAAAAGTTTCACCACTCTCCCAGTTGAGATTCTTTTCCTCTATGTTGAAATAGAAGTTTTTCTTCCAGTTTGTCTCTGCTCTCCTCTAGGACTTCTCCAGAGCTCAGTAACAATGATTTTCACATGTGCCCCAGTCACCATTAAGCACAAAGCAAAAGGTTAGGCAAAACACAAACGACAGGATCTGGAAACCAATGTCACCAGCCCCTGAAAAGGGAAGGCAGCGGGAGGCTGACGGTTTTACTCTGATGAAGTTTCTATCTGGTTCTCCTGTTGTGGTTGTCCCTCCTTATAACATGCCTTCCTTTCCCACTGAATTAGCCTCCAGCTAAGCAACCCACTTGCCCTCTCACTTTCAAACCTGCTCCATAGTCATCCTTGATCCCTTCCAAGGCAGCAACCTTACAACTGCTGCAGGACATCAACAGGGTGCTGTTACCTTCCTCTCCTGCCTTGGCGCATGCTCTGCAAGAGCTGTGGTGGAACATCTTGCTGGCTTGGACTTTGCCTCATGACCTCATAGCACCTCTAAAAAAGACTGTGGCAGCTTTGCCAAACAGCTGATGGGGCATAGGTAGAGAAAGCTGCTTAAATGCCCAGGAGCACAGCTAAATTTCTATAAGGCACTTAATGATCCTTGCTTATGGCAGTTTCATCACAGTTCTGCCATCTCTTTACACAGCAGGGAGGGAGCATAAGATCAGCATAAAGCAATGTGATTTTGACTAGACAGCATTTTATGTCCATTTACTACAGGTTAAAGGGTATGGGCAAGTAAAGGGCAAAGGAAAGCTGCATCCTGTCTTTATTGACTTTACAGATCATCGACGGTTCTGCTTTTGCAGCTTTGTCCACCCAGCATAATAAAAATAAAAGCATTGAAACTCTGGATATTTGGCATAGCTTTGGTGGACTCAGAAGTTCACTGGTCTTCAAGTCTGGATGAATGCAAGGCTTTAATTAAGCCATCCTATACTTTCCTTCCAAGGACTAATGCAGCAGCCTGTGACTTCTAAAGTATAACTGTGATCTACCAGCACATCTTTATTCCCTTCTATGCCCTTAGTTAACACCGGCATGAGGTAGAATAAGAAAGTCTATGCTGGATTTTTCCCATTCAGAGATTCCCCCATGTGCGAGTGCCAAGGTGTATTCACAGAGAACAGCAAGGACCTAGATTCCCACCATCCAAACCCCTGTTTTAGCACTGATGGTGCTAAGGTGAGTCATACTAATGAAACTAATGAAAGAATGACAAGAAGTAGTAAAAAAAGTCAAGCACATACATAACTCACTAGACAAACAGTTCTGTAAACTGAAGCTGTATTATGAGAAATTATGTGTGACCATGTCATGACAATTAAAGACTTTGTTTCTTACTTACCTGCAAAGCGGGAAGATTTAAAACTGTGTTTCAACTTTAAATCCTTGACCTCAAGTGGCTTTGTCTTGTTAAAAAATGACTATCGTTAGCGAAAGCTGACAAAAGGTATTTATGCCTAAAAGAAGGAAAAGCAATTCAAACTAAAGCAAGGATACCTAACCATGTATCATTTCACTTTTCAGCACTCCTGTGGTTCTGGTGTTTCCAATTTGGATTATTTTTCTCATCTTCAGATCTTGATGTGTTGAGAATTAACCTAGATAGCTTTACTGAGCAGGGAGCATCCTCTGCTGCATTAGAATTCACTTAACTGAGTCAGCTCTTACAGTTCTATAGGAGAACAAAGGTAAATGCCTTCTCCTGAAAGCCTTACTTGCAGACCACTTGAGCAAATTCATATGTACATTACTACAAATGAAGTATTTACATTTTTAAGAGAATATAATTGAAAAGGTCAAATAACAACAAATATGGCAATTTAAATCCCTCATGTCTCTCAATCAATCTTTCCACAACAAATAAACAGAGAGGGAAAGGAGAAGATGCAGCAGTGTGTGATTACCAGAGCAATAGCACTGAAGCAATGCACTGCAGAAAGCACATAGCTCTCTGCACAGAAATCAATTTCTCCCATGGGATGGGGTCGATAGTTGTCTGACAGGACACTATACAGGCAATTTAATAGCATTTTATCTAAATGAATCTATTCCTCCCTCCCCCCCCCCCCCCCCAACCTCACAGTTCATAAGAAGCCTTTCTTAGTAAAATAGATATTTTAACAATAGGAAAGTATTTATCATTCTGAAGACATGACCATTGTCTATTAAAAATCATTTATCCCTATTAGTTACTCATTACTCACAACTCTGCCAACATTGTTATTCTAATCAGCTAACTCATTCACACAAACCATAAGAATTACTTTCAACTACTCTGGAAACATTTTCCTTACCATAAAATGTTTTAAGCAATAGATCACCCTTTCAGGAAAAATAAGCCAATGAAATAGGCAAACTCGGTTGGTTTGAGGGAGTGTTGCTATCTGAAATGACATTTTTATGCAAGGAAAAGCTTATTTTTTGACAAATGTGTAATACATACAGATTGGTTGTCCAGTATATTTATTTTAATAGTACTTCATAAATAATAAAGCTGAGCTGATCTTGTTAGCAGATATCTGTGTGAAGTAAAGGGTAATGAATGAGAAACCCTAATAAGCATTATTCCAAAGATGGATCTTCTCTGCTCTGGGAGTTTGGTATTGTGCCCCAAAGGCTCTTGTAAATCCAGCTGCAGTTCTTGTTCATCATTTAGAAGATTAGGGGCTGATAAGCGACAGTCAAGCCTTATTAGAACAGGCTAAGGCAACAGGAAACATTAATTGGGTAATTTAATGCACAAGGAGACAATAAATGCTTGCATTGTGGTTCAGATGCTGTTTTCTCTATTGATTTGTCATGTCTTATTCCATTAAATTCTCACATATTTTTGATGGAGAGACCGTAAGACAAAGTCTAAGTTTAAAAATACAGAATACTTTTGCTACTTCCTACAGTTTCCCTTTACTCTCATGTTACTAAGGGACCCATAAGTAGCCCCGTCTTTTGAAGCCAAAGAATGATGACAGCTCTGTTGCCCAAGGACTCCTCCAACAAAGGAGGGATGAGATCCAACGTATAGCAGCAATCTGCAGTGAAATTGTCTCACCATCTTATTTGTGTTATGGTTTCATCGCAGCATGCGCTCATAGCAGGACTGCTGTGACTCTGCGAGGAAGTCCAGCCACTCTTTTCCTCTAGAAAGCTGGGAGTGCTTAACAAAGCCCTCTCCTCTTTCACCATTCTGGAGTAGACATAGAAATAGTTGCTGAGCTGATATTCCTCTGAAAGTAGGGAAGATGAGATGAACCTTCTTCCCTGTCTAATGCCAGAATTAATCTACTCATGTGAGTGCACTCAGTCCCCTCAGTGGTGGGTATTGCTGTTTGGAGCACCAAAATCTCAGTTATATACCAGCTCCTCATTTGGGTCCCATTCTAAGATTTCCTTCCGTGAGATATCTTTCCCACAGCTGAAAAGGAGGGAAAAGAGGTTCTCTTATTGTGGAATAAATTCAACATAAGATGGGGAAAGTCTTTCATTTACTTAGCTGCCTTAGGCACTCATTCCATCTCATTTGTAACACTGTAACTTGGAAGATTGGGGGTGATAATTCATGGACATTTTATTTTAATAGTTCACATTTGCAGCAATTTAAATATTAAAATGCAGTTTGAAGGCATGCAAGCATCATTAATTTCAAATAAACATTGCACGTTATGCTCTGTTTAACAGCATTTAGTTTCACTTTTTGTAGCTTTATTCCACTTTCAGGCATGGCTTTTGAATCACTCCTTTCAAGAATTCCCAGCCACAGCCTCTCCCTTCCACCCAGCATCCTGGAACTGTTTCTGCTGTGAGTAAGGTTCCCCATGGCTGTGGCACTGGCTGGAAGGCCACTCACTCCTCATCGCCTGCTGCAGCAAACTCACTGTGGACAGAGAACCTCTCCACTTCAAGCTTCTTTCAGGACTGTCGCATATGAAGTTGGTGTCCTCCTCCCACCTCCTTATATTTAAGGAAGGAGATAATTTCTCTGGCTCTATTTACCATAAGATGTGGCACTATAGGGTGCCTATTAGCAGATCCCCAAAGTCATGGCAGCCTTGGTAGAAGAAGCAGGGTCCACCTACAGCGAAACACATCCTCTCCGACACCACATTAACCAGAGTTTTAGCTGTGCTCCTTGCATCTCCTCAAGAACTGACCCAAATACAATGATCTGAGACTGTCTACTAGACCAAAAACAGGAGAGTGCACATCTTCTTGTCAATACAGTGCTTATTTGTGCTTGTACTTGATTATGTAGTTCTAACCCCATTGTCATGGGCAGGATAATCTAAACCAGGTTGCTCAAAGCCCCATCCAGCCTGGCCTTGAACACTTACAGGGATGGGGCAGCCACAGCTTCTCTGTGTAACTTGCTCCAATAACTCACCATCCTCACAGTAAAGAATTTCTTCCTTATATCTAATCTAAATCTACCCTCTTTCAGTTTAAAGCCATTCCCCTTGTCCTATCACTACTTCCTTGTATAAAAAGTCTCTTTCCAGCACTGTTATAGCCCCCCCTTCAGATACTGGAAGGCTGCTATGAGGTCTCCACGCAGTCTTCTCTTCTCCAGCCTGCCTTCATAGGAGATGTGCTCCAGCCCTCTGATCATCTTTGTGACCTTCCTCTGTCTTGCTCCAGCAGGTCCATGTTCATCTTGTGTTGGGGTACTGGATGCAGTACTGAAGGTGGGGTCTCACGAGAGCAGAGTAAAGGGGCAGGATCACCTCCTTCCACCTGCTGGTCACGCTGCTTTTGATGCAGCCCAGGATACGGTTGGCTTTCTGGGCTGAAAGTGCACACTGCAGCCGGCTCATGTTCATTTTCTCATCAACCAGCACCCCAAAGTCCTTCTCTGCAGGGCTGCTCTGAATCTTTTCTCTGCCCAACCTGTAGCTGTGCCTGGGATTGCCCCAACCCAGGTATAGGACCTTGCACTTATCATGGTTAAACTTCATGAGGTTGGCATCCGCCCACCTCACAAGTGTGTCAAGGTCCCTCTGGATGGCATTCCTTCCCTCCAGCGAATGATGACACCGAACCACACAGCTTGGTGTCATCGGCAAACTTGGTGAGGGTGCACTCAATCCCACTGTCCATGTCAGCGACAAAGATGTTGAACAAGACCGGTGCCAACACTGATCCCTGAGGGACACCACTCGTTACTGGCCTCCAGCCGGACATTGAGCCATTGACCACAACTCTGTGTGTGTGGCCATCCAGCCAGTTCTTCATCCACCGAGTGGTCCATCCACGAAATTGAGGTCTCTCCAATTTAGAGACAAGGATGTGGTGTCTTGGACATCAAGCTGCTGACCACAACAATTTGAGTGCAGCCATCCATCAAACTCCTTATCCACATGGGTTCATCAAGTGGTCCATCCATCATACCCATGCCTCTCCACTTTAGAGACAAGGTTGTTATATGGGACAGTGTCAAATGCTTTGCATGAGTCCAGGTAGATGCCAGTCTGTCCTATCTATTAACAATGTAAATCCATTGTAGAAGGTCACCAAATTCAGCAGGCACAATTTGCCCTTAGTGAAATTATGTTGGCTGTCACCAATCCCCTCCTTATTTATCATGTGCTTTAGCATGGTTTCCAGGAGGCTCTGGTCCATGACCTTGACAGGCACTAAGGTGACACTGACTGGCCTGTAGTTTCCCAGGTCTTCTTTTTTTCTCTCCTTTTTAAAAATGGGGGCTATGTTTTCCCTTTTCCAGTCAGTGGGAACTTCACTGGATGTCCACAACTTCTCAAATACGATGGATAGTGGCTTGGCCACTTCATTGGCCAATTTTCCCAGGACCTGTGGATGCATCTCATCAGATCCCATGGATATGTGCATTAAAGAGACATAATTAATAACTGCATTTAAATGCATAATAATACAAAAGGTTGTAAAAACATTCCCTTATAAAAATATTCATCATTAATGGTTACAGTAATTACCTTCAAATAGTCCTCATCCTTCTCTATATCACTTTGGGGGAAAATTGAGCATTGAAATGTAATCTGGCTTAGTGCTCATCTAACGCAAACACTTTTTATCCAACTTCTCCTGGTTTTATCCATTGTTTGGTGGGTTTGGGTTTTTTGAGGGGGAGAGAAGGAGGGTTAAGAATGCCTGAATGTGAAAATAAATGAATAAATAAATATATTTCTGTTAATGACATAAAATTTTATAGGAAATACTATTCCTAAGGAAAAAAAGTGTACGCTACAAAACCAGTTCTTAAAAATCAGATGTTGCTTTTTGCAGTCTTTTGCAATTGGAATTTCCACCTAGCCAAGATTTTTACTGGGCAGTTTTAAGCTACCTCCGCAATTTATGTTTATACATAAACATTTCTGATTTTAATTGCTATCAACTTCTTATACTTGATAGATGGTCTTATATATTTTTTGCCTCCAGAGACTATTTACATTGCCAAGTATTGACACACTTCCAAGATTTATACTTCTCTAAGGAATGAAGCTTACAATAAAATACAATGTATTCCGTGGCTGTGAATGGTAATGTTACTAAACAGTCTAAAGATATTTCACAACCGATAGTTATTTCCCTCTCACACGCAGCACTTCACTTAGTCCTACTATAGGTTTAGGATTATAAAGAGAAGTAAAATGCTTAATTTGCCTAATCTAATGTTCCAGAGA